CGACCATACCGGCTAACGAGCTAAAACACTCGTTCGGCATGCTTTTGGACCGTGCAAAAAGCTGTACTGAATAAGATAAATTGATTTTGCCGAAAAATCCACTTATTCTGTTTTTTTAAATTATTTGAATAAATTCGTTGATGGAGATTGAAAATGCTTCAATCTATACGGTCGAAAACAATGCTTCGTCATAAGGAAATATTTGCTATAGAGAAACTCGTTATATGGAGATTATAATTCACTCAAAGGAGACCCAAAACACATTGTTCTTATATTTTCTTCGTAATAAAGAAAACATCGCTATGTAAGAGTTCGCTATAGAGAGTTTCGATTGTATATGTATGTACATATACATAGTATTTTGCAATGACAGAAGTGTTTGGGCCGAAACTAATGCAGCCGTGATCACTCAAATTCTTTCGAATTTCCTAACACCAAGTAGAAAATGGCTTTTAACTAATCTTTATTGCAGATTCAAAACTTATTCTCATTTAAATGTGAAATATTTTTTTTTACTATATGATAATGGAACGTTACCACAAGCTGTTTATTTCCTTGCTGCCGGTAATTATTAAGAACGCATTTTAAATGAAGAAACCTATGATAAACCCATAGTTCTTACACAAAACCGGCTTTTATATTATATTATGAACACCATATTTTTGCGTGTGAATAAAAACTAATGATTTAAAATTTGAATTATACTCAAAAAGTATATTCCTATGAGAAGTTAATTGTATCGACTTTTTATGTTTGAAACAGTTTCCATGGGCCCTTAATTTTTTTTAATGTTTCCAAATTGTAGTTTGTTTCTTCCAGTTTCGGGATTTTACTAAACGAGCTCGACAATTTTTTCACTAATATCTGAATAGTTTGCAATTATAAGTAAAGTGGCTATTTTTACACATCTTCTCTTCATATGTTCCCTAAATTAATTATTTCATGTTTAACTTCAACTGCAGTTGGGCAGTGGTACCTTCCCAATTAAGGGACCGAACATTCTAGGTGCATGTCCTTAACTCATAGTTCTTATTAGTACGGATGGTTCGCCTTCTCACTTTAGCTTGCCTTCAAACGGCAGATCTTTGGCTACCCAGAGGATACCTGGTCTAAGGTCGGAAGGCTTGAGGTGCTTGAGCCATATGTAAAAGAATCGTTCTGGCCCCTCACAAGTGAATGGCAATCAAAGCCGCTGCTTCTTAATTCGTTGAACTATGTCAATGTCGTCCTATATCTCCTACAGCTCATCGTTCCATCGACTGTGGTATTCACCGTTGCCAATGCGCAAAAAACCATAAATCTTCCGCAGAACCTTTTACTCGAAAACTCTTAACGTCAACTTCTCCGATGTTGTCATAGTCCATGCCTCTGCGCCTCTGCATCATACATTTGGTTTGAAAACGGTATGGGGACCTTAATTGCGTTTGAGAAATTAAGTAAAATCACATGAATCAAGAGGATCATTGCCATAATTGACTTAACTTACTTTTAGGGAAATAATGAATTTCCGATGGTCTCAGAGAAAATCTGAGGGGAATAGAGTGGGAGTGACAAGAAAAACATTAGTATGAGTTCAAAATTTTCAAATATGTGAATAAAGTTGAATTATGTTTTATCAGAAGTAATAAATGTACATATAAGCAATAACGAATTTTAACCTTCAGTTTTCATTCTTTACTTCAGTCGCTTTAAGTGAAGATAAAAAAACTTTGACAGAGAAAAAATGCAAATTTTATATACATATGTATATATAAATTATTAGAATGGAGCAGATTTACAGATTATTTCTCGTTAAAAAGTGTAATGCACAAATCAGGTTACGACAACTTTGACGTCATTGAACCAACAAAAAATTGTTGTTATTGATTTTATATTATTATTTTATATACATATATATGTATATATATATATACGTCGATGTTATTATTATTTTGTATTGTTATTATTATTTTTTATATATACATATGTATATATGTATGTATATATGAACTAGGACTCTTAAAATTATTCGAATATCTTGAAAACCGATGATTCGAATATCGGGTTTGAAATCGTTCGTATGAATATTAACCGATCATTACTATTCGAAAAGTTGCTCTGCTGTGAGTATTTGAATAAATTAAAATTGTTTGAGATTCAAACAGCCTCTATTTTTGCTTGTTTTAAATTTGTAAAAAAGCCACCAGTTCTTCAAAGTTTTTGTGAAGGAAAATACTATTTTTGTAAACGAAAAGGGGGATTGTTTAGTATCGCGCCGGTTAAGTATCGTTTATGGAGAAAAACAGGGTCGGGATCGAACTTTTCCTATGGACCTGTAGGGAGGCCTTTGAAAATGACCAMAAATCAGTGTTTTTGCTCATTTTTCCATACAAACTGAAACCAATGCAACCCAGCCAACATTTTTGTATGGACAARAAATCAAAATAAAGAAAGCCAAAATGTTTCAGTGCAATGTACATATATACATATTTAGTTGCATCTATTCTTCGGCCGCGCATTAAAAAAATAACCCAGGCCGGCCCAACACCGGCTACGCCATCCACAGTATTTTAGCATTGAACACCTTTTCCTCCACAATATTTAAGCATTTAATTCCTTTTCGTACTAGCGGCCTTCGGCCGCGCTTCAAAAAAATAACCCTGATCGAGTCAACACCGGGCTGTTCAGGGTTTTTTCGCGTAGAAGCCTTTCCTGTACTTGCGGCCTTCGGCCGCGCTTTAAAAAAATAACTCAGACCGGTCCAACACCGGCTACGCCATCCACAGTATTTTAGCACTCAACACCTTTTCCTCCACAGTACTAAAAAATAACCCTGGCCTGTCCAACACCGGCTACGCAATCCACAGTATTTTAGCATTGAACACCTTTTCGCGTTCACTTCATACATTTATTGCTAAGTGGGTTTAATTTATTCCCTCTTGTTCGTGCTTTCTCGGTAATTCTACAGTTCAAATTAGGCAGTCGTTTTGGTTTTTCGCATTATTGAACTCAATGCAGAAAAAGGTGTATTTTATTTAAAGATTTACAAAGAAATTAACAATCAAAAGTAATTAAAAACATTACTAGTGGTTTTTATAATTCATAAGTAATATATGTGCGTGAAAATGTATCCATAATTGGTTTGGTACAATGCACAACAGATGAAAATACACTAGCATATATTTCGAAATTTGCAAAAAATAGCATTTTTTAAAGTGAATTTGTGGAAAAATTTGTGAACCGAATTTTATAAAATATATTTTAAAACAAAGTTCGATAATTTAAGCATACATGCTTTTCCATTTGGTTCTCTCGTTTAGGTACGGTGAGCCAAAATTAACCGGCGCGATACTAAACACAACCCACGAATAGTTTTACAAAATTTTTTTATTGAATGTTTCACTTAGCTCTAGTATGTATGTATATATTAATATACTTTTGCTAGAATTAAACTACGTAAAAAACAAGTCTAAAATTTACGAACATTACCGTTCCATTTTTTAAAGTTTTATCACAAAGATTTTGTAAAACAAAACTATTTCATAATTCAACACCATGATTAAATTATATAAGGTTGTGTCGATTGCTCAAAAACAAAAATTTGTCAAAAGAAATTCAATCCATAATGGAAAAATAAGTGTTTTTTTTTTTGTTTTTTATTGAAAAATTCATTTCAAAGGTTTCAACCAATGAATATGGTTTTCGAGTCTTAACTGAATACGAAGAGATTGTAAATAACACAAAATCATCAAAATGTAAGATCAAAAATTGATGAGAAAAACAAAAGACTGATTTTGACATTATGAATGCAAACACTTTTTTCGTAAGAGGAAACAGCCTCCGACACAACCTTCTAAAATTGAATCATGTGATAGCCTCCATTTTCTTTATAATTCCCTATTCTTCTCTAATTCATCCATCTTTTGCTGTGTTCTGAACTTTAGAGGCAGTTTGAAAACTAATTTGCGATAGAACACTCCACCGTTGAATTTCTTTACGACTAATTTTTACAAATCACTTCAATAATTTATTCTGAAACAAAACTTTCCAGAAAATTAGAACCTAAGTTTTGATGATTTTTACAACCTATCGTTTTCAGTTATCATCCATACAGTAAAAAATCAATCATTTGCGGTATTCAATTCTAATACAAACATGTCTATATGTATATGTCTGCCCCCGCAACAATCTCCAATTGAACATCACTCCCTTAATCCCACTGTTACCTGTGAGAGGATAATCCTAGTGGCGTTAGACTAGTCAAAAGCTTTTAACACAGTCAATCACTTAACGTTACTAGAATACATTGAATATTAATAGATCTTTCGTCAATCATTACAAGATGAAGTCCCTCCCTACTTCTGATTAACTTACACATTACGAAATTTCTCCAATCCCTATAGGAAATTTCCATTACCTCTTACAAAGTGTTTGAAGGCTTATCGCGACCTTTCCGCTTACTCACTGTAAGGGTTCCCGCAGAGTGGATGTTTAAAACCGAGAAGAATGTAAATACGCGTGTTACCTAAATGGGTAAAATGCGTCCGGCTCGTCGATTGTCGATGATTTCGACTTCTATTTACAAGACATTCAGACAGCCGGCTATAAATAACGCAGCAAACTCAGGCTGTTAGTCGCATGGTATACTGGCCACTGTAAGCTGAATAGGCATCTGCACAGAATGGGCCTACATGCCGTTTCTGTGACAGGGAGCCTGAAACTTCGGAGCATCTGTTGATCGACTGCACAGCAGTCTGTAGTCGCAGAGCCAAGGCCATTGGAGTTCTATTTCCTGATAGGGATCGCATTGCCTCGCTAGCGCCAAGCAGTCTACTGGACTTCATTAATGGGYTGGGGCTAAGCGAGGCAATGTAAGGAAGGAGAGGGCACAATAGACCAAAGGTCGCAGTGCATTCCTCATTATCATTCATTCATTCATTCAAACAACGCAGCAGGATACAGTGCAGATTTATTGGAAAACCGCACATCGTACAATTACAGAATGCTTTTGACGACTCCAACTTCTGTCCACCAGTTTCTGCTGGGATGTTTTTGCAAAATTATATTTGCAGTTTTTGGTTCGGGACCGCCTTCTAGAATCATTAAGAAAAGCTTCCTATAATATGTTGACGATTTTCAGCCATAAACCAACGTAATTCCTGACGAAAACAACTGAGCGCAATTCACATTGGAGATATTAACACCTTCTTTGACTTCCAGTGAATGGATGCCTTGGAGTCGAAACATCAATTACCGTAGGCCCGAGTTGCCGGAAGAAACCTGACTGACCCTAATACTACTATCTACTGTTAAATTACTTTGATAAAAATTGATTACGTTTTTTGGACCAAAAATGGTCTAAGCTCTCGGTTCAATAAAAATTAATTATTAACAGAACAGCACATTCCAGCAGTTTCATGTTTCCATTTAAAAGCATCGCAGTACTGACATTTTTTATTAATTTAGCCAATAACAATCAAGGGATGATTATGATATTCAATTGAAGGATCATATTGAAACCCAGTACCATTAAATACAGTCATAAATACAATCATTACGCATGAAATTTCGGCGGCGGGTGGTCTGCATGTCTGCATTGTTAGTTCTCCTCACCTGCGATTGTTCTGGTGTTTCTATCGCTCTTCTAGTTGTCTGCAGTGTAGCTTGTTTTTCTAAACGAACTGGTGCCTGAAGAGGCGTTTCAGCTCTCAAAACTCTTTGTCGCTCTACCTGTTGTTGTCTTCTCAGCTCTGCGTGAGCCGAAATTTCTTGATTTCGTGGAATTTTTGCGTCACGGCCCCGCGATGAAATTTTGGATATACCAGATTTCCGCTTCCTAGGCATTTTCTAAGAAAACCATATTAATAATTAACATCAGCGAGTAAGATCTAAAATAATAAATTGACTGCTAACCACAAAAATTACGGATTACCTCAAACATTTGAATAGTTTTATACTGCATGTAACGACAGAAGAAAATAACAATAAATATAAAAAAAAAACAGTTGAAACTATGTATACACAATTGAATTAGATATCAGTCATCGACTAACTCTCTTGCAGATTAGACGTTTGTTTTTGCGCGTACGGAGTTTTTTTGATTTCGTTCTTTCTCAGCTCAGCCTATCCGCTTTTTCGCTTTTTTCTATTTCTGTGCATACGCATACTTTTGTTTACGTGAACTTTAAAAACACGTGCACCATGGCCCCGGGGCTACCAAACATTAACGCAAATCGATTTGCGTTATTAGATAATGGACCAAAAAGAAAGAAAAACAAAAGTGATTCAAGTGCCCTTCAAACCGATTTTCCCTTTCTGCCTGAAACTAAAGTGAATGAT